TCAGTCCCAGCTGAGGGATCACAGTCAAATTCTGACGTGAAAGCTACTAATGTATTGAGTATTCTCACAGCTAGCATGTCCTGAAGAAACAAGGACTGTATAAACAACAAATGATAATCTGTAGCAGTCTTGGCAGTAAGCAGATCAAGAAAGAGTAGACCTGCTTCTGAAGCAGAAGAAATGATGCTATCAGTTGACAAAGGGAAAACAGAGCTGCAAAATCTGACTTTCATCTTTATCTAAAAAAATTTTCTCACTAAAATGAGTAGAACATAAATATGGAATTGAGTAACAATATAAGTGAGGTAACAGAAGGAGTCCAAAATTCCAGGCTCAAAAAGACATCACGGACTCTGTAAGTCTACTGACAAGAAATACCAAGAAGTGGCCGGGCTCAGTGGCTCAGCCTGTAATCCCAGTACTTTGGGAGGCTGAGGTGAGCGGATTGCCTGGGTCCGCGAGTTCGAGACCAGCTCAGGCAACTTGGCAAGACCTCATCTCTACAAGAAATAAAAAATTAGCCAGGCATGGTAGCGTACACCTGTAGTTCCAGCTACTTGAAAGGCTGAGGGGGAAGGATTGCTGGAGCCCAGCAGGTCAATGCTGGGGTGGCTGTGAGTGTATCACTACACTCCAGCCTGGGCGACAGAGTGAGGCTCCAACTCAAAAAAAAAGAAATACTAAGAAGTAAGAGAGCCCCCAGGAGATGGGAATCTGAGAGATGTCACCACAGTTTTCCAGAGGAAAAGAACTAGAGAGAGCAGAGACTCAGTCATGTGATATCCATCACTGAGCCAACACACAAATGGGTTTGGCAACAGATCACTTGTGCATTCTTCAGCAAGAAAGCACTGCTCATAGAGAGGGCCACTTACCAAGCAAGGCTGTGCCCAGCTGAGTTCAGACTGCACAGGTATCTAGAGTCAGCAAGGCACCTGCAGCCTCTCATCATCCTTGAGAATCAAGAGTTAGATGATGTTAGAATTTGGTATATTCACACAGATCCAACAACTGTGTTCAGAGACTAGCTTAATTGGGCTTATCTTGGAGGGAGACGGCTAATCTTCAGAAATTTAAATTTTTTTAAAGTTAAACTAAGTAAATACTTTTCTCTCCAGTTGAGGAGAAATCAAAGGTGATTTTCCTTAAGAGTTAATGTGCTACATAAACAACAGAGTAGAAGACAGTAAGTACATCAGGCCTGGACTGGTCGTCATCCTCTGTGGGGAAAAGCTTTCCTCTGTGGGCCACATCTGGAAAATGGGATGGCGAAGTATCACAGGAAGTGCTTGGAGCTTGAGGGGTAAATGGTGATTACCAGGCAACCAGCATGCCCAGATCTGCAAAAGGCAGAGAGTTGTCAGACTCATGAACTGCAAAGTATGTACTGGAAAGTGCTGTGTTTTTAAGTGTAACATGGTAAAGAGGAACTGAAATTTAAACCATGACCTTCTACAAACTCTACCTCACCTTTCCTATTTAAGATGCAATATTTCATACTTTGTCAAAAACAGCAACTCAAATGTCTTTTGGCTGGTGTTAGGAGTTTCAGGTTGAAATGTCCATGACGGCTAAATGTTATGAAGCATTCTGGAAAGTGGTGCCTATTATGCAGCCAATGGGAGGCATGCCCCTTTGTTTCCCTAACTTTTCTGTAGGGTTTGACTCTGGGCAGAAGTCAAAGCCATGTGTAAATTATTCATGAGCACTGTCTGGGCTCCTGATGGGCCAAGAAGCCTGGGACAAAGGAATGAATAGTCTTTTTTTCCCTTTAGCAAAGCTGACTTAATGACTGCCTACTTCCCAGCCTACTCTTCTTGATTTCTGGGACATGGCAGGTTCCAGACCTTCCAACCAAAGGCAAAGAGGCAGGCCCTTCTCTTGCTCCCAGGAACTGGGCTTCTGTTCTTCCATGAAATACAAGTGCACATATCTGAGAATCAGGGTCAGAACACAAAATGAAAAGCACATAAATGTAATCTGTCTGTCTTCCCTCATACAGGGCACAGTCAGCTAGAAGAGAAGAAATTCCTGTCGGAAATAGTCTAAGCCTCCACCATTAGAAGTCCTTTTCAACAATGACTTGCAGATGGTACCATCTTTGTAACTTGCTGGAAAACAAACACCCCCCCCCAAAAAACAACCCAAAACAGACAAATAACAACTCTGTTTAGATAGATCAGAGGCATCTTCTGGGGAGATTAGTTCTGATAAAGGCCATTCCGGGACATGTATGATGAACAAATCCACACCCTCCGTGACCCAACTGTGCCCTTCACTGCGTGTGAATTCCAAGGACTTGGCTTTCAGAGGCTTATCCTTAAGACGCTGTTCCCAGTCAGTAAACTGAGTGGAATTAAATTATGCTGTGAAATAAATCCACAGGATAAAAATAGCATTTGAATCTACCCTAATTAGATATGCTCCCTTCAAAGTCAACTGTATCAGTTAGAGTCTGCACATGGGGTTCAAGTCCAAGAGTAAATTAAAATACATTCTCAGAACCACAGATACCACGAATTGACATCAAATGTCTCAAGATGGGGTCTGACACTGCTTCAACGGAAATTACATCATCAGGTCACAGTGTCCATCCACCATATTTCAAAGTAAATAAGACAAGCAGACCAAGAGGTAGTAAAACCCAACACAGGAAAGCAAGCTTGCTGCCTGGCACCAATACTCAAAGTCTCTGAGGATCAAAGAAAGCTGAGTTTAGACCATGCTGCTTTTCTTCAACCTGCCTGATTTCATGAATTAAAGTTGTTCCCAAAAAGGGAATAAGAAATCGACTCTTCAATGATATTCAACATCTTCTAGTCTCTCATAGGAGACAGTCTAGCCCAGTGGTTACAAACATGGTTTGAATTCTGACTTCACTACCAGAGAGCAGTGTGGTTATTAAGCCTTTCTAAGACTTAGTTATTCATCTAAACAATGCAAATAATACTACTGACTATAGAAGAATTAAGAAAGAAATATAGATAAAGTGCTGGTCCTGTAACATGTGTTCAGCTTAGCTTTATTATTGTTTAGTTTTATTATTATTTTGATTTACAACAGAAGTCTCTGTCAAGGAGGAAAGTCATTATCCTTAAAAATTAAACATGGAGGCCGGGCATGGTGGGTCAATACCAGCACTTTGGGAGGTCAAGGTGAGGGGCCTGAGCTCACAAGCTAGAGCACAGCCTGGGCAACTTGGCGAGACCTCATCTCTACAATAAATCAAAAAATTAGTCAGGAGTTGTAGTGCTCACCTTTAGTTCTGGCTACTTGGAAGGCTGAGGCAGAAGGATCGCCCGAGCCCAGCAGGTTGACGCTGGGGTGGCCATGAGTGTGCCACTGCACTCCGCCTGGGCAATGGAGTGAAATTCCAACTCAAAAAAAAAAATTAAATGTGGAAAAGTTTCTGTCTGGGGTAAGCAGAACAGAGATGGATGGATAAGCCATAGAGAGGAGGAAAAAAAAAATGGAACTCACAGCCCAGAGTCTGATACTACCATAGGGAAGGACTCAGTTCCCTTCACCCTCAGAGATCCTACCAGTTACCTTCATGTATCATATGCTGGGCGTAAAGTAAAGAGTGGGGAAAAAAAAAATCTGTCATAGCACCACCATGAGATCACCAGAGCCTGGTCAAGAAAGCCCAAAACACAGGCTGTCTTAAAGCAACTTGTGGCAGCCTTATAACTTCAGAATGAGTGGAAATTCCTGATGACCTTCCAGCAGATGATGCCGCTGCAGTTGTCCAGGTCCAGTTCCCAGTCCTGCAACACTTTCTCTACCACGCAGGGCCTTGGGTCTATGATGAAAGAGCTACCTCTAGTTGAGGTTTGGGGGCACTTCACTGAGAATTCATTGGAAGGAATGTCTGTCTAGTGCCTGTTACACCCCCTTTGCTGTCTCACTTCTTTCTGGCATCTTCTACCAGTTCTACTGCATTCTTTACTTGTCTCACTACTTGTTCTCCTCCTATTTTGACTCCCAGGGTACTTAAGAATGTCCACTGTTTTTAAGGCTGTCATGTACTTTAACAATGATGTTAGTATTGTCATACATTTACAAAAGGAACTGTACTTAATGAGGCTAATAAATAGCAAACTTCAATCAGGAAATTCTTTACTTTGACATTCATACCTCATATATAAGTGATTTTTTCTCCAAGAAAAGCAAAAATTGCATCTCAAGAAAAAAAAGGAGGGTTTATGTGGCAACTAGGTTATAATGTGTCTTAAAGAGTAGGAGGATATTGACAACAGGGAAAAAAGAAAAACTGGAGAAACGAGAACTGTCTAACATCCACTACTACATTTCCCACCCTCCCTGACCTTCTCTCTGACTAGGGTTTCATTTGATGTCTATTGAGTTCTGAGCTCTAACAATATCAACCAGATTTTGAGCTCAAAGTACGGGTATATCATGATCAAAAAATTGTGTGTCATGAAATGGAATCAAATAATATTTGAGAGGGGGCTACAAATGGCAGATACCATCAAGCAGGACATTGCTCATTGAAAGTTCACCTCCTAGCTCCTGCCTGTTGGACCATGCCCCATCTGACCATGATTCTTATTACAGTGACTTAGAGCAACAGTTATCCACACTCTTCAGTCTAGGTGTGGATTCTTAACATGGAACAAACCCACAGTTAACCAATTCCCTTCAATGTCAAGACAAAAAAAAGAGAACACCAATGTGGTCAGCACCTTGCAAGGGCTTGGCTGTCATAGGCCCTTAGCAATCCCTGGGTGAACCAATTTGTGAACAGTCCCTTTAGAGGCTCTCTGGCCTATTTTATGAATACAAATAAGGTAATTTCTTGTGTTGAGGCAGTGTTTATCACTATGTCAACCATTTATCCTAATGGATGCTTAGAAATTTTGTGAATTTAATTCCAAAAAGATTTCCATTGATTATCACGAGAATTGGCAGGACAGATCAAGCCAGGAGAAGGGATGGGGGATGAATTAGGAGAGGGGCTACCAGCAATCAAAACTCACCTATAGATGATTCCTTTCTCATGGAGGAACATGAGCGCCGAAATGATTTCCGCAGCATAGAAACGAGCTCGTGCTTCGTCAAATCGACGAGACTTCTGAATGTGGAACATCAAGTCACCCCCATTTACAAACTCCATCACAAAAAACAGACGATCCTGGATACAAACACAAGAGAGGACCCAGTTGGCATCACAGTACCTAGGGATGTGGCCTGAAGAGATTGTCACATGGGGGAATTCAAAGAAACATCCTGACTGTGGTCAGAGCACCATGTGATGGGTATGGTGGGTTCAAGTCCCTTGGGGAGAGGAGCATCTGGATCCCCTGCAGGTAATTCCACATAGCCTTTAATTTCCATGTGAAATCAAAAGTAGAGAAGCATCCAGAGCTTTGGGTTTAAGTTCTAGCTCTGTGCTCTAGAGGCTGTGGACCTGGAGAGAGCAATGTAAATTAAAAGGTGAGCACTGTTCATCTGGAACATGCGGGGTTAATCATAGAAAACAAAGACCTCATAGGAACTTTAGTCCATTCAAGTGGACAGAGGACAATTCAGAAAAAAAAAAAAACACTCTAAAAAAGTCAGCCAAACAGCAGCTGAATGGCAGGCAGCCTCAGAGTGACTTCTACTTTAAATTCTATTCAGTCCATCAAAAGATGTTAAGTCAGGCTGGGCGTGGTGGCTCAAGTCTGTAAGCCCAGCATTTTGGGAGGCCGAGGTGAGAGGACTGCCTGAGCCCAGGGGTTCAAGACCAGCCTGGGCAACTTGGCAAGACGTCGTCTCTACAATAAATCAAAAAATTAGCTGGGTGTGGTAGCACGTGCCTGTAGTTCCAGCTACTTGGAAGGCTGAGGTGGAAGGATCACCTGAACTCAGCAGTTCAAGGCTGTAGTGGCCGTGAGCATGTCATTGCACTCCAGCCTGGGTGACGGAGTGAGACTCCAACTCAAAAAAAAAAAAAGATGGTAAGTAAGGGACTCAACCTCGCAGGTGAAATGAACTCTTTACAAAAAGTTACCAGGTCGGGCCTTGTGGCTCACATCTGTTATCCTAGCCCTTGGGAAGGCCAAGGCAGGAGGACTGCTTGAGGTCAGGGAGGCAACACAATGAGATCCCCACTTTTACAAATAAAAAATTAAAAGGAAAAATTAACTGGGCATGGTGGCATGCACCTGTAATCCCAGCTGCTTGGGAGGATTGCTTGAGCCCAGGAGTTTGAGGCTCCTGCATTCCAGCCTTGTCGACAGAGTGAGACCCTGTCTCTTGGAGGAAAAAAAAAGTTACCTGTACAATGTACTAAGTACTATGCAAGTGATATAAATAAAGTACTGTAGAAATTAGGGCTGCTTAATGAAATAAATGTGTAAAAAAGTGGTGTCTCTAAGATTTACAGTGTAAAACATTTTGTTTCAGAAAACTCTTTCAGTGAGTTTTCCTCATTCCCTCCTGCTAACTTTGGAAGTCCTGGGTTAGCCCTTGCTGGGGACCCCACAGAGACAGACACAGCCTCTTCTCTTATAGAGTCTGGCATGAGAAACATATATTGCTTAAAAAAAAAAGTCACATAAGCGAATCTACAAATTCTGATAAAACCTGTGAAAGAAATATGGAGGAAGTGTAACATCTGGTCACCTACTTGGGGCAGGGGAGGTCTCTAGCAAGTGGAAAGTGGGCCACGATCCATTGGACGAGTGCTATCGACTCAGGACAGTGATAGCCTTTTGGAGGGTTAGAGGCGGGAGTCATTTTGTGAGAAAATTGGTATTTTACGAAAGGAAGTAGATACACAGAACTCACCTTTATTTGGGATTTTAAGTGCTACCAACTTTGCTCAGAGTTTCTACACAGTCCTGGCTAACACCGGGCAGAGCCTTGTGCGTGCTCCTGCTCAGCTCCTATTGCATCAGAGGTGTCACCACCTGATCCCTATCAGGGACGGTCTGCCTTATGATCTCTTATTCTCTATTTTAAGTAATACCTTAATTAGAAGGGAAAAAAATCCCCTGTGATCTATTACACATTTCTTTCTGCTAAAGAGAAGAATTTAAAAGCGAAGAGGGAATAGTAAGAGTCACAAAAACAAAAGCCACCACTGCCACCACCACCACAACTCTTCTGGCTGGCTGATGTCCGCAAACAGGAAAACTGTAAAGCATAGCATCTGACTAAGCAGCCAACCTTCATTTGAGGGTGACTGACAAGTGGAAAGGCAGCGCTGGGATGGGATGAGCTTTAACAAACAATGGCTGTCCTGTGTTTTCTAAATCGAGAGGACTCTGGTGGAATTAGCAGGTGAGACAGGGGGCGGGGTGGAGGGTAAGCCCAGGCTGGAGACATCTCAAAAATCTGCAGTTGCAAAGGAAGTTATGATGCCGATGCTATATCCATCTGAGGGGAAAGCAGCCACAGGGAGGCCAACCAACCTGAGCCATCCTTGGGCAAGGAGATCAGCCTGACACATTTTCCTTAACCAGCCAGTTCAACTTCCTCATGAGTCTGATTGGTGGGGTACACGAATTCCAGCTGCCCTAAACACCTGATTGCTGAAACTGGGCTGGCAGGGAAGTGGCCATTCCTCAGGCTGCTGTAAGTGAGCATACTTGGCAAGAGTTTCTAAGGCAGTAGGCCTCAAAAGATAAGGATATTCCAAAGAAAACTTCATTCATTCCACAAAAATAATAATTCACACACCTAAAGTCTAAAAAGCTAGCCTGGGGGCTTAACTCCAGATCTGGAGGAGAAGAATTCTGCTCTCTGGTCTCGCTCTTTCTCTTCTGTCTAGCCCACTCACAGCCCTGGAGGTAGATTCTCAGATACTGCACAAAATGTGGCAGGTTTACCACATGTGGAGGTAAACCTGCCACATGGCAAAGGACCAAAAGCTGGAGAACTGTGAAAAGATGGGCCCCTGCCACCCCTATTTTTTTCATTCAGAGTCTCATTTCTGCCCTTTTGTCTGGCACCTCCTAGACCAAAGGGTACCGATCACAGCCTTCAGGTTATAAACAACTCTATTTCATTATTTATTTTTTAAATTTATTTTTATTTTAGAGTTGTGGGGTATATGTGAGGATTTGCTACATAAGTAAATTGCATGCAGGTGAGGTTTGGGCTTCTGGCAAGCCCTCTCTCACTTTGGTAGTGGACCTGGTACCCAGTGGATGGTTGTGTGCCCTTATCCTCCCTCTCTCCTTTAGCAGTGCCCAGTGTTTTTTGTTCCCACCTTTGTGCTCGCATGTCCAATGTTTAGGGCCCAGACAAGCAGCTCTTGAAGCAAGCAGAAGGGAAAACAAGCCAGTCGAGATACAACAAGGACCTAATGGAAGGAATGGTCCCTCCTATAAAAGACCTCAAATAATGTCTCCAGGTAGAAAAAGAAACACGTCTAACGGTGAGCAGAATATTTTTGCTGTGAGAAAACCTTCAGTGTACTTGCACTTCTGTTCATCCTTTTTTTTTTTTGAGTTAGAGTCTAACTCTGTCACCAGGTTGGAGTGCAGTGGCACGCTCGTGGCTACCACAGCCCCGACCTGCTGGACTCAGGTGATCCTTCTGCCTCAGCCTTCTAAGTAGCAGGAACCACAGATGTGTACCACCATGCTTGGCTCATTTTTTAATTTATTAAGGGACACTATAACTGCCCTTGTCCCCTAATGGACTTTCTGCTGCCTGGCATAGCCAGGCCATCAGGCCCATTGGAATGACATCCACAGTGAGAATCGGTTGGCTCTGGTTTGGGTCCCAAAGGCTCCACTGGATCGAGATCTTTTGTGCTTCCTTGAAGGTTCTTGGCAAGAATAAATGTTTATTGAGCACATACAGTAAGCCAGGCCCCAGGTAGGGAACCAGCCTCCTAAACTAATGAGACCCCACAACTACTCTTAGGATGCTCACAGACACGCAGTCAGCACATCACTCCAGCATGGTAAGCACAGTAGAGGTGGGAGTGGGGGGTAGGGACTGTCAGGGGTATGCTGAGCTGGGCACCTGAGTAGCATGGAGGCTGGGGTGGGATTGGGGGAAAACTTGTAAGAGGAGTCAATTCCCCAGCCTTGAGGACACACGATTCCCACTAGAGTGGGTATCAAGGAGGGAGGTGTCAGGAAGAATGAACAGCTGGAGTGTAAGGGGCCTGCAAAGGAAGACAGGCTGTCAGGTGCTGGGGCTGCCGAGTAAGGTTTAACGTTAATCATACCGCTGTTTTCATAATCAAGTGTTTGTAGAAAATGCAACAGGCTACTTTATTTCATCCATTCCAGGTCACCCACAACTGAGAACTACAGGGTCTCAGCTCCCATTTTTCTTTTTTCTTTTTGGAGTCAGGGTCTCACTTTGTCACCAGGTTGGAGTGCAGTGGCACGATCATGGCTCACTGTAGTCTCGACCTCCTGGGTTCAGGTGATTATTCTGTTTCAGTCTCCTGAGTAGCCAGAACTATAGGCGTGTGTCACCATGCCCAACTAATATTTTGAATTTTTTGTTGTTGTTGTAGAGACAGGTCTTGCTATGTTGCCCAGGCTGGTAGCTCCTGGGCTCAAGTAATTCTCCGGCCTCGGCCTCCCAAAGTGCTGGGACTACCAGTGTGAGCCACCATGCCCAAACTTCAGCTCCATTAATAAACATGGCCACTCACTTACTAGTCTCTATTAGGATCATAAGCCCAGTGTCTGGAGTGAAACAGGTGGCAGCTATGGGGATTGACTTGAAAAAGACTTCATTAAGTGTTGGAATATGCCACATAGAAGAAAATCGCATCTGCCATAAAAGCAAATCACTCCAGTGAAATCATACTCCCTTGGAATTAATTCCATTGACCTGCAAGAAGCCCTCCCATTTAGTGAATACCTTCAAAAAACAGAGACCTGTAGTTGACCTTCTGTAAGGAGGCAGAAGACAACCTCTCCCCTACAACTTGACTCTTAGTCTGTTCCAGCTATTTAAGAATTAGCATCACTGGTTACTTGACAAACACTAAGCCATGCTTCACAAATTCAACTGTGAAGCAATCAGATGAAGCATTTCAGGAAATCCTGCATTTAGGGAGGTACCGCATGATGGATTATGTGGCTGTGAGTCATTCCCGGCACAAGGAGGAATTCCCAAATCCCACCCCAGGCAGAAGTGACAGAGTTGACCTGTCCTGTATTTAAACCTATG